CTTCGGGGTGGACCCCAAAACAACAAACAAAAGGGACCGTATCTAAAGGATGTACAAAACTTATTTATGAAAAGAATAAAACCAAATGACAATGTCTTATCTCCCTAACTAAGAAAAACATGAGAAAAGGGTAATCAAATAAAAAGGCAGTCCACCCCTACATGCTCCTGTATAAAGAAACAGGTAACACAAAGCCTGCCGGTTGAGGTCCATGGCGGTGTCATCTTATATGTTGTCTCCAGGTCATTAGCCAATCTGTATGGGCCGTCCCATGGATGCACCAATCACGGAAAGGCACCTGCACACTCAGATTTACATATGAGACAACATTACGACAACAGTCGTAACATTAACTAAAAATGTTTTTCACCATCTCGTTTTAACTTCTGGTTTAGCTTCAGCTAACTAAAACTAAATGGACCTTGGAAATAATCACATCTTAATAGAGTGAACCATAGACTGTATAAAAGATAGGACCATTGCAACTTTACTGCAGCACTTCACCCTTTCACATAGTCCCAGCTCTTCTCTGTCATGTTTTATGGTGCTGCAAATGTCTTCAGTTGGTGAAAGGTTGGGCTGCTGGTGTCTTGTTGTGCTTGCTATGCATCCCTGACTCGTTTCTTCTTTCTGCATCAAGTAAGGAATGTAGTGAAAGTTCCCAAGAGGTTAAAAGCACCACTGAAAAAATGCCATCAGACCTGAGTTGGGACACTTGGATTATGGAGCTTCTGGACCAAGAGAGTGGATGGGAGCATGTGTTTAACAAGTAAGAGTATAACGTCCCCCAAAATGTCTCTAACTAAGAAAAACATGAGAAAAGGGTAATCAAATAAAAAGGCAGTCCACCCCTACATGCTCCTGTATAAAGAAACAGGTAACACAAAGCCTGCAGGTTGAGGTCCATGGCGGTGTCATCTTATATGTTGTCTCCAGGTCAAGGAGACAACCTTAACCTTAACAACCTTTCGCGTGCCACAGCTGGTTGCCGACCCCTGGACTAGACTATTTAACAATATGTTACAGATTTATGTTACAAAGAAGAAACGCCACAGAGGAGGTTTGTGGATGTAGTGAAGGAGGACATGCAGAGGGTTGGTGTGACAGACGATGCAAACAATTGCCCATTCCCACAAAGCTATGGTAAAAGCTAGCGTGAGATTGGGCTGGGTTCATTGTACTGCTGTATATGACTAGGTATTTATTTGGGAAAGGAAAAAATGAACTGAAAACAGTTACTTTCTTATGAAATGAACAAAAATAAAACCCAATGTTGTAACAATTACTGCATGGTATATAAATTAAGATTTTCAAAATAAAACACCAGGCCTCCTAAGTCCTAACTCTGGTTTCACTCATAAAACCTTATACCTTTAAAGTGGAATGGCTTTCACCTTTGAAATGCCCCAGGGTACAACTAAAACAGTTATTGTCAACTTAAACCACATTTGTACTAGTGGGCCCCCACATAGACACACATTTACTTGTCCATATTAAACCTGAAGCATAGGCCCTTTCTCTTGTTTGTACTTGTGTTCTCGTGTACTCGTGATACGTCATCAGTCGGAGACCAAGTACTGTTCCAATTCAAAGTATGCATCAAGCCGAGAACGCGAAAAAGTCCCGGATGTGTTCTCGCTCCGCCTGTTTTATCGATAAATGAACGTTTTCTTTAAATTATTTGAATATATATGAGTGCCTGTGTATAAATACACAAACAATACACATATGCTTTCAATTGTGTAATTTAAGTGATCTAGGTAGCTCTGTTTTGGAAGTTCAGTTAACGCTAGAAATGTGTTTTGGAGTTTCTACGTCCTTTAGAATTTGTACGTGCTTTTTGGAGTTTGTACGGGCTTTATCTCTAGGGGCCACTGTATATATTTATATATAAACATACATAAATAAAACCACTTCTTTTTTTTTTTACATTAGTAATTCCTTTTGTGCATAATTTTATATTGTTGTTAATTATAAATTAATTAAAGCAACAAAACAACCTGAAGAGCCGAAAGAGCCGTCTCTTTTTAGTGAGCCGAGCTGAAAGAGCCGGTTCTCTAAAAAGAGCCGGAATTTCCATCACTAATTCTTAGGACTTAGCTTCTGTGTCAGGTCCCACAGGTTCACCTGAACCTTTACCACTTGTCCCGCCCCAAAGCAGAAAAGAGTGTTTTGGACTGGCTTGTTAGTCTAGCAACCAAAGACAATACAGAGTTGAGATGACTGACATTAGATTGGTAAACAAATAAGGTGAACCTATAAAACAGTCATAAATTCAATTATGTTTAATTCTTGAGTTTAATAAACAGATAATGTCTGTTAGCAGTTAATCTGTCATTACAGTTAAATGCTGAAGCAGGAATACATTTGTTTAACACTCACAAATGTAGGACTTAGTCATTTCTACTTTAATTTCTCCATTTTCTACCTATTAAAGGATGACAAAATCGCATTTGGAGTCTGCTGTAGTTGATAGTGGTGCAAATACTTTCACAACCACAAGTCAAAGGTTTTTACACTTAATTTGTCTTGTTTTTCAATACATTAGTATTTTAAAATACATTGTTATTTATCATAAAAAAGAGCAGCATTGATGAGTAATGTGCTAGTTTTCTGTGGTGCCATTTTCATCCTTGTACTACTGTGGTAGTGAAATATACTTTAGAAATGTGCTATAATCCTTCCCTCCCCATCTCCAGCTGCCTCCCTCTTCCCGCTCCTCCACAACCACCCACACATGCAGGGCCTTGGAGTGGGGGTATGTCACCAGGGTGCAGAGGAGGCTACCCCCCCCCCCCCCTGTCCCCTTCTGGCTGCCTCTGCCTCAATTTTATCCACAACTTAGACATTCACATTATTCACACTCTCATTACACATACATATAGGATCTTGGGGGTGGGCACAATCACGGAGTCCAAATCACCATCAGGGTGTATACCTCACCCCTGACGTCGTTGCCCACCTCTCAATTTTAAATACACTTAGTCATTGAGGGTTAGCAGGAGGGACTATGCGCTTACCTGCTGCTCCTTGGCAGGTAGCTCCATGCCCTCCTGGGTTTTAATTGCACCTTAGAACACATATGCATCAACACTACAATGAGCGGGTGAAGGGAGGTTTGGAGTCTTCTCCCACCCCCATTCTCTGCGGCCTGCTGGAGCGGGAGGGCTAGTAGGAGGAGTTGGCCGTCCGACTGCGGTCTGGGGTGTGGGGCCTCCCTGCTGCTGCGGAGTCGGGTGGTCTGCCTCTCCCCACCGCAGGGAAAAGGGTAACACCACCTGGGTCTGGGTGCAATTCCCCCTCCAGGGGCAAGGGTACCTAGACCCGGTTTGTAGAGTACGCTTGGGGAGTGTGATTGTGTGTACAGCGTCTCTTTATGTCTGTCTCCACGTTGGTTGAGTGTGGAGTGAGTGCATATGAGAGCATGAGGGTGGGAATGGATGTCTGTGTCTATATGTCAGGTTGGGTATCAGACGCCACCTCTCTGGGGACACCTCAGGCCCTCCAAGGTTTGGAGGCCTATCTCCACCCACCACCACTTCCCCTGCGGTGGCGGACTCCCTCAGGTGTCGGTGTGTTGGTGGTTCTTTGTGTCTGGGGGTGGGCGTCCGGGTACACACCGGCTCACTCCTTGGCGGCCGCTTGTCGGGGCCTGGGCCTGGGGCTCGCTCGGGCCCCTTTGGAGGTGGGGTGCCCCGGCTCTCGGCCTGGGGCTCGGTCACTCAGGCACAGCTGGGGCCGGCGGAGCTCACGGGCGCGTCACTGCAACTCCCCCTGACTTCTGCTCCGCGGCTGCTGGGCGAGCCCTCATCTGGGACTCTCCTCAGCTCTTACTGGGACAGTGGCGCGGCTGCCCTCTGTTGGTCTTCCATGGTCTCTTGTGTTCTGGGGGCCTCTGGATGTCTGGAGTTTTGATCTCCTCCATACCTGCTTCACACCCTGGAGGACGGGGCTGTGGCCCCCCCACACTCCCTAGCAGATCATTACATGGAGAAACCTTTGGAATGCAAGCATGCTGATCCACACAGGTATGCACACATGGGTATTCACAGACGCGGACTAAAGCTTTCCTGGCTGCTGCCTCAAAGCACACTGTGCGCTGTCTATCTTGCGTGCTGCACAATATCGTTTATTACTTAGTAAATACTGATATCTATGACTAGCTAGTTTATTGTGATGGTGCTTTGTTTTCTCTATTATTATGTTGCTCTTTGTTGTTTGCTGTCTCCTCTGTTTGTTTTTGTTTGTTTGTTTGTTTTTTTCTCATACAGGTGACCAGGAGTTCTTTTTTTTTTTTTTTTTTTGTCTCTCTTCCCCCCTTCTCACCGTCTCTTCTCCCTTTGGTTTCTTTCTTTCTCTCCCCTCTCTCTCTCATTCATTCCCTGTCCTATTTATTAAAAAAAAAAAAAAAAAAAAAATGACAAAGGATGAACTGAAGCTCTGCCATCACGTAATGTCGCATACTGCTGTTTCTGATGTCATTTAAGAAAAAGAAAAAAAAAAAAAAGAAATGTGCTATAATAATGCAGTTCTTTAACTTGGAGTTGGTCTTGTATGGTTTAACCTTTTTTTCCTGTGTGTTCGCATTTGTATTGTAACATTTATTCTGTAGCGATATCTCCCAGGTGGCATCTTTGGTCTCCTTCCTTGCTGTTTTCTGGTAGTGACCTCACCCAGATAGCTGTAGGATGGTCACTCACAAGCTGAACACAAATATTTCTTTTAATCTTTGCTGCCATTGTATTAAACTTGATTTATGAATTTATGTATTCAGTCAACACAAATTCCAAGCAGGTAAAAAGCTTTGGAGCTCAGCAGCAGTCAGAAGAGCTTGATGAGGTGAGGAAGAAGTTACTGCCTCTGTCAGTGCGCCCCAGGGTGGCTGTGGCTACAGTGTAGCTTGCCATCACCAGTGTGTGAATGTGTGTGTGAATGGGCGAATGACTGGATGTATAAAGCGCTTTGGGGTCCTTGGGGACTAGAAAAGCGCTATACAAATACAGGCCATTTACTGTTGTCCTGGAGTAACTGTAACCCACATAATTCCCTGAGGAATTATTAAAGTATTCTGATATTAAAATCAAACATGAAATGCATTCAAAGACAGAACAGAAAATATTCACAAGCAAATAAAATAATATATTCAATAGTTGTTTTTTGTTTTATCTTTCAAATCCTGTTTATAAATTGGCTTTAGCCTGTGCAGCATCACAACTCAGGTGAGTTCTAAAGAACTCCTCTATCTTCTTCCACAGGTGGATCTCTGCTGCTGCGTGGGCCCTGGGCTCCCCTCCCCACACCACTGAGAAGCTAAGGATCCCATGGAAAGCAGAGGAACAGAAGGGTCCATAGGGTGGCTCCAGCAAATGTCCAGCTCCAGGATAAAAAACAGTCTCAAAGTTCTCCTTCCCATGACGCTTCAGTCTCTCCACCATCTGGTCCATGTAGGCCTTGCTGTCCCAGTTGAGGTCATCCTCTGCAGCCACAAAGAGAAACTGGCTCTTGGCTCGTTCAATGGGGACGAGGCTTCCTTTGTTCTTCTCTTCCAGGGGATCTTCAGTAGCATACTTGGTAAGGTTTGCTCCAGACTTGGTGGTAATCACCTTGCTGAAGTCAAACATTAAGGGTGAGAGGATCTGCTGTTTCTTGTAGTAGAGGGGAGTGCCCACACTGGCACTGGTGCCATTGATCCAAACTAAGGCCTCCACACCGGGCACGAATGCAGCAAGAGAGAGCGCGATATCTGTTCCCTTTGATCTTGATATTATGCCGACTCCTTTACTGCCCGCCTGTGAAATAACACACAGAGCTCAGAAACCGGCAATTCCAAAGTATTAAAAGTTGTGACCTGCTGGGCATTTAAACTGGAACAGTTTAAAGAAAAAAATGGGTGTTCTGGCACATAACTCGTAACTACACATAACTAGGACTCCCTAAAGCAGTGTCTCACTTTTTGCCAAGCAATTCTTCAAACCTGACTGATTTTTAACCAGTTCACTGCATTTCACAGACTACGCATGCAATCATTCCCCCCCCCCAAAAAAAAAACAAAAACATTTGCTTCACATTCGGTCTGAACACACAGTTACATGGGTTCTTGTAAAGTTACGCTGCTAGCTTAAGTGTCACCCACTGGACCCACCTTGGGGTGGTGGCGTAAGAAATCCACGGCTTCTTTAAAGGGGTCCAGATGTATCTCTTTCATATTTTGTCTGTCACTGAACACAGCAATCGTGAGGACCAGAAACCCTTTGTTGGCCAGCAAACAGGCTCTTTTCTCAGACATGAAGGTGCCCAGATCCAGCACAGCAGGGAACGGACCTTCTCCTAGAACACAGACAACAAAAGTTTCATGTAAGTAGGTTATAATCATGCATAATGTGCAACTTTAACCTAAAGCCCTACAATAAAAGATCCATATTCAACACTTCATCTATGTTTTCCAGTTTAAATATGAATTAAAATGTTTTTCACTCATGTATCGTGATTTTGGTGTAAGTTTCATCATATAGTTTCATTACAGCCCAATTAGTGCTGTATTTTATGATCTCAGAGGTGTTAAACACATTTTTTTTATATTTAAGGATACTTTTAAATAACTTCCCAAAGTAGTACAATAAGTACTTCTACAAAGGATACAGCTGTGCAAATATGATTACAGCTAATCTGACAAGCCACCCCCTCCTCTGTCCTCCAGATGCATTTTAGGAACTGAGACATCTTTTAAGACATCTGTTATTAATCTCTGTCTCTCTTCCACAACATGTCTTCTATCCTGTCTTCCTTCTCTCACCCCAGATGGCCCCGCCCCTCCCTGAGCCTGGTTCTGCGGGAGGTTTCTTCCTGTTAAAAGGCAGTTTTTCCTTCCCACTGTCGCCAAAGTTCTTGCTCATAGGGGGTCATTTGATTGTTGGGTTATTCTTTGTATGTATTATTGTAGGGTCTGCCTTACAATATAAATACTTTGAGGCGACTGTTGTTGTGATTTGGCGCTATATAAATAAAATTGAATTGAAATTGAATCAAGAAAAGTGATGTACCCTTTGCAGAAAATATACCTTCGCCACCTGTTAAAAAAAAAAGGGGGGCCCACTGTAATGATAGTGAATACTTCTAAGTGGAAAACCACATACAGTACCTGGGGGTGTAAACAAGACTCCTCGTATGTTCCCCTCTTTGACTGGGTCCCGACTGACCCCGTCTCCCATCAAAAACCTCTCGTTTGTCTCTTCTGCCAGTATCCTGCCATCCGCCTCCTGCTCATGCACAGAAAACTTCACCACGTGAGGGTTCAGAGCTTTGTTCTTGAAGAAGTACTTGTGCAAAGTGTCTGCCTTCAGTGACTGCAGCAGACCCATGGGCTGCACTCCAACGTAGCTCCCGTTGAGTGAGGGGTCTCGGTTCAGGTCGACCTCTCCGCCATCATCTGCCCTGTAAGTGGCTGAAGAGCTGAACACCACTTCTCTCTCGTCGGTCGATGTGGCTCTGATTGTGACCACCTGCCTTGACCGCAGCCCGGCCACTTTCAGCTGAACGGGCTCATCAAACAGACACCTGGTGCTCGGCAGCAGCCTCAGCCTGACTTGGGAGGACATCTTTTCTGAAAGATCAAAGACTGAACTCCATGAATGTTCAATATTTGGACAAATGGGTCATTGCAAGGAAAATAAAAAAGAAACATTCTTGGAATGCTTCCCACTCGACACCATCAGAATCAGATCTTTTTTTTTTTAACTTCAATATATTTGAGGACGCAATGCTACATACTATGTAGATTACTGGAGTTACAGACCAGAAAGTATACAGTGTTAGGTCAAAATGTGGCACTTTTTAATGTCCCAGCATTTTTTAAATCTCACAACTTTTTAACCACATGAAATTTTAAAGGCTGAAAATTACATTTCAGCTTTGTTACAAACAGCAACCTATTTAATTTTAATTCAGCTGTCTACTGGGATATATCAAAATTTTCAGTAGTAAAACTTCATAAATTTAATGCCAATGATGCAGAGAAAAAGAAACAAGCAATAATACACTGGGTATTTTTCCTGCTCTGATCAGTCACTGGAGAAAACTCTCACAGGTGCATTTTGATGACCTTTCACATAGTTACTGGATGTGAAAGGTCATTTTTTCCCTACATTCTAGTGTCCAAAGTAATTTTCTAAAGCAGGGATTCCCAAAGTGTGGGCTGGGGCCCTCTGGTGGGCTGTAAAGATACTGCAGGTGGACCACAGTATTAACAGAAATTCGGTTTGGAAACTCAGCAGGCCACTGGATGGCTAAATAGATGTTTGTATTAACAATCAGTTAAACAGGTGTTGAACCTACGCCCAGTGCTCCGACATGCCCTTGGATCATGTCCATGCAACAACCAATCTCCTCTCAAATAAATCACACAGGCGGACAGATCCAAGTTTTTTTAGGCTAAAGGTCGTTTAAATATTTTTGCGCTTCTACCCTAGGTTTTGTGGTAGTGCGTCTTCTTCGTTGGTGATTATTGTTAAACAGAAAAGAAACAACCTTCCATAAATGTATTTTTGATATTTACTATTAGATTGTATCGTGCATTTTAATACTGAAACAAACAGAGGGAAGCGCAATTTCCCATATAACGCCATCATAGTCGACTGTCTTCAGCAAGATGATAGTTAAAGTAAATTTACAGTCTAGTGAAATTATGCTTGTAGTAAAGGTCAAAATTCACCAAAGGAGAACGACTACCAAAAAAATTTAGGGTAGAAGCGCAAAAAAATTTAAGCGCGGTGTAACACAAACGCAGTAAAGCTAAAACAAACCTCTGCAGGAAAACAGTAAAGTCGAAACTTGCTCCCTTTAAAAAGAAAAAAAATCGCACTTTTAATTAGTTTAAGTCTGAAACTATACTGCAGAATCTGGGTAAATCTTCCAGAAAATAAACTATACTTTAAATAGTGCTAAACTTCTGCAGAGATCTCCACGCCAGCTCTGACGAAGGTATTCGCTGTGCAAAAGAAGAAGCGTATTTTATATACACTTTCAAAACATCTGAGCACAGACGCATAACTGGGAGTGGCCTGCATGTCTTCAGATTTTCTTCTCTGTCTTAAAAACAAAACTTACCGAGGCGGATGGATTCAATTACTGTTTTACTAAATCCGGTTAATCTAAAGCACGTTGTTCGCTCTCTCAGACTCCAGACCCCTACCCGATCAATGCGCGTCATGACGAAGTCTGCGCAGACTCTGTTCTGTTCAACTCTCTCTGCTGGAATATATTTTGGTAAATAAGCACCAATGTTACCGAGTGACTGCAGTAGTAAAACTGTTGAATCCAGCTAATGTAATGCTAAATGATGTCCGGCAGAGGGCGCTGAAACCGTCTAACAGGCTGACACGGGCTAAGCAGGTGCGTTAGGGTAAGCAAACGTCCAGGTGTGGAATAGTACAGATTTTTTACACCCATGTCCGGATATTGAGATAATACCCCACATTTTAATTGTCTTTAGTTTACACTATTCAGCACAACACACAAATCTCAAAGTAAACCTTAGAAAAAACATCTATAAGTTCTCCCCACTGCAATTAAAAGTTGATACACAGAATAGAAAAAGAAATTTGAAATGATAGTTAATCCACAGAGACTTCGGACACTGGGCACCTAATTTTTTTTTTCGTTTTCTTTAATCAGCAGAAGATTTTTCAGCTGTCCTGATAGGATCAGTTAGATTTTTCACAAAATAAACTTGCATTAAACTTACAGTTTCTGGAAAAAAAAGGCCTTTCTATGCTTATCTCATTATTTGCAGTGCTTAATATCATCAAAAGATTCAGAGAGGCTGCCTCAAGCAGCACATGCAGTGATTTCCATGATTGATTCTGTCATGAAAATCACTGCGCTCAGGAGCACTTGCAGGCCTTTCACCTTTCAGGTTGAAAAGACTTATTGCACCATCAAACAAAAAATACACAAAAACTACACTGTCCCAACAATATTCCTCCCCCAGAAGCACAGCAACGGGTCTGTTCCCAAACATTTAACAGTAGTTTCCAAAAGAAGTGGGGATGCTACACTGGCCCAAGTGTTCTGAGACATGTTGCTGCCAGGAAATTTAAACTGACATTTTTTCCCCCTCAAAGTTCAAACACTTGATGTTTTTTGTGCTGTGCTGTGAAAAAAATATAGAATCATTGCATTCAGTTCCTATTTATATTCTACTCTGCATCACAGCGTCTTTGGAATTAGGAAAACATTTTATGATATTTTTTTTATTTTAATCTTCAAGTTAGATCAAAAGAAGAGGGCAGAGTCCAGTAGTTCATTACAACCACCAGAAAAAAAATTGTGAAAAAAAAAAAACTGAGTTATGTAAAAATACTTGGAACAGTTGCTATAGTTTCCCCCTTCACTCTTTCCTGATAGCATAATAGAATCTGTATTTTGGAGATATGATGCAATGAAATGAAAGTGTATGCAGCAAGGACACAAATGACTCCACTTCTGAGTTGAGCATTATTGTGATTTAATTCACTATGTCTTATATCACAAAGAAAGTCTTTAAAAATGCAGACTAGAATTTCTGTATATAAACTGTACACAAAAAGCAAGGCACTATACAATCAGATTCTTCAAGCTGCTGTTTCTCTCCTAATGAAACTCTCAGGTGCCCAATAAACCAGGGTCACTTCAGCAGTTTTGAGCAATATGAGTTACCTATGAGGCCTGGCAGCATCCAGACAGTGTGGACAGAAGAAGTGACGACTTTCCTTACAACATCTGACACGACAGGACTCGTTTTTACATAGATACAAAGTCACAGGCGCACCTACACACAGTTTTACACAAATTAACGTTGCACACAAACATTATATACAGTCGCACACATACACAACCACAGCATGGCACTCTGACAACAAGCGTCCAAGTCTTTTTCTTTGACGAGTCCATAAGCGGTGATTTTAGTGCTATGACACACATAAAAGCCATGTATGCAACAAAGCCAGGTGTCTTTTTTTTTTTTAACCTGCTTGTTATACCGCTTGAATTTCATTTTGTTAAGTAACGACAAAGTTGAGAAGTAAAACATCACTATAAGCGAGGCGAGTGCATCTCCAGTCTCATTCTCCTCGTATCAGATCAAAAGCAGGTTCATCTCTCTGCGGCTTCTTCTCGCATCTCCCTCTTGACTGTCCTCTCTTGTACCTCTTCACGTACCAACTCCTATTAAAAACACGATTAAAACAGTCCTTTGGCCTTCTTTAAGTTCACTTGCTTCCACCCTGGCAGACGTTCATATTCCTCTCTCTTCACCTCCAAAGCTTTCTGGGGTCAGAAAAAGAGACAAACGTTTCAGAAGAGAACACAGGCAGTGTGATAGGATCATCACTGAATGCCAAGCACAGCCTCAGAGAGGAGAGATGGCAATTTAACTCTAACTAATAATGGTTCAACATGATCAATATTGTTGTTCGGTGACAAAATTCAGCCTTTGTTTTATACTAACACACCCTGAATGTGTTAAGTTTTGTTAGCAGGTGCATTTGATGAAACACTGACTGTCAAAGCACCAAAAAATATAATTTGATAAAAGTCTAAGACAGGAAACATTTAAATGTCTCTCTTATCATGTTTAGTTTCAGTCTTCTTGTGTAGGTATGCCTTTTTCCTACTTCCTGTTTTACTCTGAAGGTTAGTTTATTCACATGATCATTGATTTTGCTTCCTAATTCTATCCTTTGTGCCTATCTGCCCAACCCTAATTAGATCAAGCTGTTTTAAGCATCCACAGCTTCATGTTTGCATAAAAGCTTCTTCAGATGTCCGATGTGCCCTACGTCGGTCTCTGTGGATGCAAATCCTTTCTCCTTCCTTGTTATTCAGCCTCACATCCCACTTCTTCTTTGCAAACCTCTTCCTTGGAATACTCTTCTCTGTTTCCTGTATCCTTGTTCTCTTTCCTGTGTCCAGATGATAGACCAAACACCTTTTTGGCTGGCTATCTATCTATCTTCACCTTTGCAATGAAAATTCAGGAGATCAGCGTCTTTAGAAGTGCTCAAATCACCTGATCAATCATGTTTGATTGAGTGAAGCTCCAGCGCCATATCTGCAGGATGTTGTCCTTTGCACTTTGCACTGGATCATTTCATGGATAAACAGATGAGTAGGTGCTTAGTGATTATACATTTTTTGGTACTTTCACAGTGAGATGTTTCAGAGCGCACAATTTTCAGAAAAGTTCAGTTTAATATAAATAGGAAAACAATATTTTCAAATATTTTCTTGTACAATCACATCTGCTAATTCACTGATTCTCTAACATGACGTGATATCTTGTGCCCTGTGGGGAAACAAATCAACTCCATCCAGTGTTGGTGTTTTTTCATGCCTCCATGTTGTGCTCCACAGACAGATAGTGAGTCAGACTGCAGTGCAGATAACAGTGAATCACTAAAGAGCATTTATTTGCACTGAGAGGAAAGGTAGAAGTTGTGTGCGTGCGTGCAAAGAGAAAAGCTGCAGGAGCAGAGAAGTGTGGAAGGAGTGCGGCGTGGTCGGAGAGATAAACTGCAGCTGCGCAGATAAAACCTGTCAATTATCACAAGAGCATAAACACATCATTTCAAAGTCTAAACCCGCTCCCACCAAGGAAAACATCAAGAGATAAGCGACCTCTTAACTCACTAGGATGTAACTAATTATTATTAATTATAACATTACATAAAATCCATAATTTCCTGATGGTTTTTTTCTATACAATATTAGTAAATAGTGACAAATAATCCTGATGCGATTCTGAGCAATACTGGGTGTTTACAGGTACAGAGAATATATATTTAAGGCTTTTAATACTTTTTACTACTTTATATACAATTTGAGACCAAACATACAATGAAAATATACGTCTATCCAGGCTGAGTTTAAGAACGCCTGCTAGATGTGTTTATTAATATTAAAATAACATGAAAATCTCACGTTTTTTCTAAAATGAAATCTCATTCTCCTCCGTCTGAAGCAAACTAAATGCAGAGTTTAGATTTCTTTCCAGCCACTAGCTTCAACATCGATGACTAACCATCCTTGTCAAGCTATTGACAGGTAATCGTCATCATCATCTTTAGGGTTTTCACTGCTGTAAAAATGGCACCTCACTTGGTCTAAGAATTTTGTATTTTTAAGATGTGCAGGTATGAGTTAAAGGTAGCCTACAGTGGATTTACCATTATGGGCACACCCTGAATGAACATGAAAAGTTTAACCTATCTATAAATCCCGTCCTACATAAGATCATTTAGGAAAAAGAAAATAATGTAATAATTTTTAAGTCCTGTATGTAGGATATTTAAGGAGTTGTAAACTATGAATGTTTTATGTCATTTATAATAAGAAGGACTTTAGAAGCACATTAGAGTTATAGCTTCAACTCTGAGGTATTAACTGAAGTGTATAAAAGTACACACTTACAGCACATACCAATCAAATCCTGAATTCTCTGACTGATTCAAGTGGTCAGTTGTAACTTTTCATCTTTTCTCCCAGCAGAGATGGAAGCTAATTTTGGATCATGTGTCATTTTGTATTTGTTGTCTCCTGTGTGAAGGAGTTGAAGTGCCAAGTCCTTTGTGATTGCAGCTTTTATAAAGTACTGTCTAACAGCGTAAGGGTGTTTCTGGATGATCTTTTCAGACATAATCGTGCAGCCAAGCACAACCTTTCCTCCTCGACCAGCACCACACTCAAGAGACAGGAGTGATTTTTTTTAAACACAGCGCTGACGTGCTCGAGAGAAGGACGGGTCATCAGTGCGGATGAGTCACACGAGCATCTCTTCTTACCTGAATCCACCTACAAACTGGTCTGTAAAGTGAGAGTTAGATGGTGTTAGATGGATTTTAATGACTGAAGGTTAGTTACTGTGTACAGTTCTGGTTTTCCACCATTTATACTTGTTGATGTACCTGCTACATATCTGCTCAAATCACCGATGTGAATCACTGAGGTTATTTTTGCTTGTGCCAATAAAAAAAAAAAAGAAAGAGAAAATATGCACCAGATAAAATTGGCTGAGATCTATTTCAGAATTGTCTGTTTGTGCATCTTTGCAGCACTTCCAGTGTTGCTGCTGTTTTCTCTTTGCTTTCTGGAAGCTTCATTCTGTAAGTATATCTGCATGTATGCTTCTCAAAATGATGGAAGAGGACAAAGACGAAAAAGAGGCAAAACTGGAGATTAGCAGGTCAT